TTTCAAAGACAAGCTAATAGATTCCTTCTCAAATTCTTGCAGAATACTGTGAAAAGGGAAATGCATATATATAAAGCCAACATTACTCTGATAATAAAAGCACATAGGGACCAGACAAAAAGAAAACTACAGACCAATGAACACAGGTGCAAAAATCCTTAATGAAATCTCACCAAACCAAGTTCAACAATGCATACAAAGGGTCATACATCATAATTAAGTGGGATTTATTACAGGAATATGGATGGTACAACATATGCAAGTCAACAAATGTAATTCACCACATCTATAAAATGAAAGCTAAAAGTCTTATGATCATATCAATAGATATAGAGAATGTATTTGACAAGATTCATAATACATTTGTAATTTTAAAAAATAATGAAATGGGGATAGAAGGATAATTCCTCAATACAATAAATGCCATTTGTGACTGCTGATGAAAAACTGAAAGCCTTTGCACTAAGATCAGGCACGCAGCAAAGATGTCTGCTACCCCCTCTGTTACTTTACTCATCAAGGTACTGGAAGTTCTAGCTAGAACGATTAGGTACAGGAAAGATATAAAAGGAATCCACACTGGGAAGTAAGACGCAGAACTGTCACTATTTGCAGATGACATGATTTTATTTTATACATATACACACGTAAAACCTTAAAGACTTCACTAAAAAAAGAAAGAAAGAAAGAAAGAAAAAAGAATTAGAAACCAGTACAGAAAAAAAGTACAGGCAATAAAATCAACATACAAACACAAAAGTATATTCTTTCCTATATGCAAACAAACTGGAAGAGGAAAAAAAATAAATAAAAACAATCCCATTTACAATTTCAACAAAAATACATAGAATAAACTTAACAAAGTAGATGAGAGACCTGTACATAGAAAACTATGACATTATTGAAAGAGTACTCAATTGTACTGAAGGAAAACTTCATCAAGGACATGAATTTCAAAGGAACATTTGGTGGAGTGTTATCTTTAAAGGAAAACAGCTGAGTCTGCCTATCTAATGACATTTTGAAAAATTAACCCAGAGGTATTTGTTCTGCCACTTTTGTTTTCTCAAGCATTCACAGAGAAAAGTTCTGGTTCTTCCTATTGCGTTTCTAGTTAGAATCTAATTCTTCTAATCTGTGTTTGAACCTTGGCAGTCATTGACATTTTAAATAACAATATGGCCCTACAGACAAAGTACAAAGGGTGAACTGCTAGTGATGCCAGAATTCCCTGTGTACCAACAATAAATGCAACTTAATAAAGAAAAAAAAATCCTAAAATCTTGAGGAGGTGCTTTCAATGAGAGTATACTGCCTCTTCGTATACATAACCCCATCTGTTAAGATTCTTTTAAACACAAACAAAAAGTTCAGAATTTTAACCCAGAAACACATTTCTGTTTATCAAAGACATCTGTGACTTTAACAGCATATGCTGAGAAGGCATTTAAGCAGCTCTAGCAAACAGTTAATATGGCTCTGCCACAATCCACCAGTGGCAGGGATAAGTGAATGAATTTGCTTTATAGAGGATTCAGTGCAAAGCCCCTAGAAGGCATCCTACAACCCTTGCAGAACCTATTAAGTGACAGAATATAGAAAACATAAAGAGAGGAGTATAAGATAATTGAAAGGTTTCAAGCTAAAAGAAAAGTGGTAGCGTTTTAGGGCAATACAACAGCACCCCCTTCCCCCCCTCCCCCCAAATACCCATCAGTCGCTAGTCAGCTGGAAATGTTACTCTAGGACTGTTCTGTATATAAGAACTGGAATGCTGGTCCTAGAGACTAGGAAACAATAGAGGATCAAGAAAGATCTAAACGGGCAGTCATGATAAAAGATTCTCCCACAAGCAAACAAAGAACTACATATAAGAGGCAATCTGAAAGGCAAACAAAGTAGAGATTTAGAAGAATTTAGAGTCACTGAAGATGAGAAATAAGTTTTTTAGTATGGAGTGGTCAGCATCAAACTTCTAAACTTCTAGGTCATAAATGATATTCTTTCATCTTTGAATGCTGAACCCATACCATAGAACCTGCCACACAAGAAGACTCAATAATACCCCATCCTTACATGAGGCCAGAGAGGCAATGTCTAATTGCTGTTAATGAGAACCCATAGTGCTCACAACAAAAGATGCTGGTGTTATATCCTACACAAGGAAACAAGCACAAAGCATTTGTATAATCTGCCCTAACTCACCCATCTAGCAGATTCTGTCCCAATGCCATCCTCTCCCACCTTCAGCTAACTGGACCAGTAATTAACCAACAGAATCTTCTCTCCAAAAGTCAAAATTGAGATGTGGAGATAATTTTTCAGACTAATCCTGCAAAACCAAATCTGGTATTGGCACCTGTGTAAAACAGAGTTTCATACAAACCAAAGTCTTGGAGAAGCAAAAACCAAGAGCTTTAAGAAGACAACCAATCTAGAAAAAACGAAACAAATGTTACAGAGTACAGAGAGAAAAATCTGTTAGAATAACTGCCTGGAGATTTTCTGACCCTAGAACACCAGGTTGGTCTTCACAGGAGACTTCAGTCTTCCAGCTGTTTAACAATTTTTTTTTTCAGTAAATTAAATCAAATGGGTTTTTGTTCCTTACAGCCAAATACCCAAATCATTAAAAGGGGTCAAAAAAGAGATACTTCGTAAGATGCTACTATGCCTTCACAATAACTTTTCTGGTATTTTAGTTCTCCTTTCAGAAATGAGGGTGATTAGGTTCAGGGATATTAGCAGATCTGTCTTCAAACCTATACAATACCTCATTTTCATCTAAATAACATCCTCTTTGTTCCAGGTCATAATACCATTACCTTTATCCCTTTCCCCAGAATATTCTCAGATTAATACAAAGATGTTGACTTTTTTTTTATCATATCTAGGCTCTAATCTATACTTTTCAAGTGCCCTTACTCTAGTAAATGTTTAAAAATAAAATGAACTTTTTATATAGAAAGATAAGGTAGAATGAAGACACTTGGATGTTTGGTCTGTTTTTAAAGTAGTAAAGAATTTTTTTTCACCTGTTCACAGACCCTTAACTCAAGCCCAGGCTAAGCTTAAGTCTTTTTCTGACTATCCCCATAGTTTGTTCCTTCTAAAAGATGATTTTACTACTGAAATGCAGACCACCACAACACAAAAAAGGGAACAGAATCTAACTAAATTATTATCATACCCAAAATTAGTTCAATTATTTTTGAAAGACAAAACAACATATATCTACAACTGAAATGCTTAAAACATGTGTCAAAGATTTTAAAGACTAGCAAAATATTCTAATCATCAACTCCTGAAAGTCAGTTTACCAATATGGAACAGTCTAATCTAGACAAATCTCCCTTGCCCATTCTCAAAAAGAAACTTTCTAAGTTTTTGACATTTTCTCCAAGTATGGGAGAAACTCTACAGCCTATGTGTAACCGGAAATTTTCCTTAAAATGAAATATATTGAATCATCTGGTTTGGTTTGATTTCTTTTCCCAGGTAGTAAGTACTAAAATTGAAGTACTATCTTTCTTCCAGTCTCTGAAGGCTAAGAGGAACTCAGCTTCTCTACACTTACCCTGAGAGCTCAGAAGCTAGAAATTTCTCACTGTGGCTTTGGCTCTTTAGCAACTTCCATAGCTTCAACAATGCCTAGGAATTTGCTACTAGACCCTTAAAAATAATGAGTGCAATTATGTGGGTACATAGCTAGTTACAAGTACAGCTTGGGAACTATTTCTTCTCTGACTTCACTTACATTCTTTGATCTCTCATAAAAAGCTGTTATTGTCAACCTTGGGTCAATTCCACCATAAGAAAACTACGAGTATAAATCACCAGGGTACCAGATGAAAAACGTTGACTGCATGTTCTTTAAAAATTCGTTAAATTAAAAAAAAATCATTAAATTGCTGTATTTTAACTGACACTAATCGTGACTGTGCTGTCATTTACTCTAATATCATAAACACATGAAAACTTCTTCGCAATGAGTGTATTTTCTGAATACTGTATTTTCTTTGTATATGCAGACTTATTACAATCAACATCAATCAATACAGCATTCCTAACGGGATGGCAAGAAGCTAAGGAAAACGTACATGTTTTACAAGGTACTGAATAACTACAACGCTGAAAAAAAACAGTACTTTTAACTCTAGTTTGCACCTAGGTCATTTGATATGTATCTCAGCAATTATTTCTGATTTTGAAATCCTTAACATTATAAGCTAACCATCTTCAGTTTAATAAGAATTTGGAGAAGGAAAGCAAAGAAAAAGAATTGTTACCGAGTCATACCACAATGGAAATTTAGATTCTATTGCCAACTTTTTAAAAGAAAAACACTGGTCAAATCCACATATTTTTTATCAAGCAGCTTAGATTCTTGGAATACAGGAGTATCGCAATCCATTTGGATGGGCCAGTATTTACGCTATTAGCAACCTGGACAGAATTTGACAGCAAATCCAAAACAACACTCGAGAAGCTGGTTGATGTCTTCCGTGTCTGTCACAAGATTTGGGCTGCGCCTGTGTCCAGGGCTTAGTGGTTCTGACAGTAAAGGATGCTGCTTGGGGACAAAGTACGACGTCTTCCTGCATAAGCTACCGTGCTCAGTCCACGAACACAAACTAAGCACACGCACCACCAAGCACCTGCGGCACCCGGCTCCTAAGACCACCTTGCTGATGGAAACTGAGCTTGTCATTCAAAGTGCTGCAGCTCCACCGCACACCCAGACCTTAGGACGCCCAATCTCGAGTTCTAGGATCCCCCCTTTCCCTGATCTAGTGCTTTAGGCTTCTTCCTATGCCACACTCCTCGCGTCCTCCTAACACCTAGCTCTCGGGCCTCGAGCTATAGCAGACACTGCAGGCAGGCTGAGAGGCTGAGGCGCCCAAGTCGAGCCGCTCCATCCTTCCCAACCCGCACCCCGCCGCCAACCCAATCAACGCGCTGCTTACACCGCGGGCTGATCCGCACCCCGCTCGGCTCACCTGGGGGCCGCAGCCTCCGCAGCTCACGGGCATGTCACCGGCCCGCAACG